TCTCTCTCTCTCTCTCTCTCTCCCTCTCTCTCTCTTTCTTTCTCTGCACGTGTGTATGGGAAAGCATTTTCCCCTGAGGGGAAGAAATGTATGCATCTGTGTCACCGATTTTGTCTTTTTGAGACAGTTACACCTCCCAGTCGCTCAGCCTTAACAGGTAAGTAAATTCGTTTTGGATACCCTACCTTTATTTGTTGGAATAATTTTTAAAAATGAATCAAAGGCAATCTCTCCTCATGTAAAGACATTTTAGCCCACTAAGATTATTTTGCGTTCAGTCTTAACAATACATGTATATAAAAAAAGATAATCTAATACCTGTTTGTAGTATTAGGATATGAGGAAAAGAGCCTGACACTGATGGAGTATTGAGTCAATTTACGCTGTCTCCAGCATCTCTATTTAGTGCATCCGATCATTTGTAATATGAAATACTTATTTGGACGTTTGAACTCTTCGGTCATCGATAAAGCAGGAGGAAATACATATCATGTGAGGACAGAAATGAATAGCTAGTGATGAAGATGAAAGCGTATGGTGTTATAGATATTCGGTAGTATACTGATGAATAGTGCCGCCCAACTGAGCCTGTGTACTGGTTACTGAATTTTTTAAAAGCGTATTCATTTCACGAAACAGTCTGGGTGTAAATACAATATCCCAAATGTTCCGAGTGGGGGAGGGGGGGGGGGATAAACGGGATAAACAAAAGAAAAGAGCGAGATCTCCTGGTCTACGTCTGCTGTGCACGCCAACCTCCCCCGGCCCGTGTGCCCCTCGGGGGGAGAGCAGGGATTAAGCCGTAGCAGGGCGAGAGAATTAAGACTCTCGATTGCAATCATGCCTCTTTTGTCCACGTTCTCCGCATGGTCTGAATACAGGTATCGGGGTTGGGATTCCTTGAGCTTTGCATCGAGCATGAACGATCAATCAGCAAAACTAACCTCAAGACACTTGACCGTGCTCCAGACCTCCTCCCCCCTTCCTTTCTCAAGGGATCGCGCTGCCATGAGAACTCACTGACAAGGAAGCTTTTTTTGGGTAAGTGTTTTACGGCGATCACAACTGCATAAAAACATATGAGCGCTCTGGATACATTTAACAGTTTCAGTTTGGTAGGAATTAACTTTGACTTTTGCCCGGGTGGCGGCAGAAGCTTCCTCTTCTTTATCGATTTAAGGAAGCCGAATAAAGTAACATGCAACAAATTATTATTGCCCACTAATTCTACACGAGAGGTATGTACCGTCTATTGCTTTTTGGAGAAATCCAAACCTCTAGTTTCTTCGAGA